TTTTTAAATGCACTATCAAGCCATGACAAGACATGGAGGAATCTTAAATGCATAATTAACTCAGTAAAATAAGCCAACCTAAAGAAGCTACACACTGTATGATTCTAACTATGTGATAGATATTCTGGGAAAACCAAAAGTATGGAGGCAGTAAAAAGAACAGTGGTTGCCAGGGATTGGGAGGGCAGGAGGGATGGGCAGGCAGAGCACAGGGGATTTTCAGGGAAGTGAAACTCCTCTGTATGATACTGTAATGGTAGATGCATGCCATTAGACATTTGGCCAAACCCACAGAATGTTCAACATCAAGAGGGAACGCTAATGTAAACGATGGGCTCTGGGTGATAACGATGTGTCAATATAGGCTCACTGATTATAACAAATGCACCATGCTGGTGGGGACGTTGACAGCGGGGGAGGCTGTGCACAGGGAGGGTGGCAGGCAGGATATATGGGAATGTTCTGTACTTTCCATTTGCCTTTGCTATAAACCTGACACTACTATTTAAAAACACAGTCTATTAAAAACAAAAGTAGAGCTTTTGACTTAAGGATTGTAGGGGTAAAAACTTTAACAAGCATTTATGGAACACCCACTGTGGAAAGCCCCACTCTGGTAGCCAGCCTTCAAAGTAGACCCCACGATCCCAGCACCTTCTGCAATCAACCCCCTTCCACGTTGTACCAGGGTTGGTCTGTGTGACCAGTAGAATATGGCAGAAGTAATGGTGTGTCACTTCTGAACTGAGACAAAAGACACACAGCTTCCTTCTGGCTCAGTCTTTCTCTCTTGGAATGTTTGTTTGAGGGGAAGCCAGCTGCCATGTCATGAGCGCCCACAGAGAGGGCTTTGGCTGACAGCCATGTAGGTGAGTGAGCCTCTAAGCAGATCCTCCCACCATGTCAAGCCTTCAGATGACGGCAGCCTGGCCAATATCTTTACCGCAACCGAGGCAGGAGGCAAGATTCGACTTCAGAGGCAGAGCTCAGAAACCAGACCAAACTGAGGACTAGCTAAAAAAGCAATGGGGCAGGAGCAGCTTTTCATAAGACACAAAGTGCCATGTTGTTTACCATTGCCATGGCAATACCCAGATGTTACCACCCCTTTCTACGGCAACATGACAACTTAGAAGTTACCACCATTTTTCTAGAAGTTGCTGCATAAACTGGCCAAAATTTGGCTATAATTAAAAATGGGCATAAATAGGACTGCAGAACTGCCTCTGAGCTGCTGTTCTGGCCGCACTGCCTATGGGGTAGCCCTGCTCCGCAGGGAGCAGCACCTCTGCTACTGCCATGCACTGCCCCTTCAATAAAAGTTACTAACACCACCGGCTCACCCTGGAATTCTTTCCTGGGCAAAGTCAAGAACCCTCCAATTTTGGGGCTTGCTCCTCCTGCATCACAACCTCTTGAGAAAGCCTGAGCCAGGGCTACTCTGCTAAATTGCTCCCGGATTCCTCCCAGATTATATAGACATATGTGGGTACAAAATTTTTAATCTGAAAAAATTAACAAAATTTTGGCTTAAAAAAAAAAAACAAAAAACCCATGACTTCCTCAGAAACTGCATGAGGAATACATTTGTTTCATGCTGCTCAGTATTGGGCTAATTTGTTACATGGCAATAGATAACTAACACACTTCTGATAGGTGCTGGGAAATACAAAGATGACACGCTGCGGGAGGGAGAGACTTTGTCAGCGTCATTCACTTCCAACTGCCTAGCTCCCAGGCCAGTGCCTGGCACATAGCAGATGCTCAAGATATTTGTTGAGAGATTAAGATGCGGCCACTGCCTTTCAGACGCAGCCACGGGAGGGGAAGACGACGCGTAAAGGGTAACTGCAACACAGGGAAGAATGAGGTCGGCGCAGAAGGGAGCGGTGACACAAGCAAAGTGCTGCCTGCACAGGTGGCGATGCATTCGGTGCCACAGGTAGTCACAGAGTCTGCATGGAGGAGGCCGCAATTCACCAGTGCGTGAAAGACAGCCCTTTCTAGATGGGCTGAATTCTGTTCTCTTTCTCTTTACTTCATAGTGCAATGTACAACATTTATAAATTTGAAAACAGTGACTTGAAGGAGCAAACAGTCTTCCTCTGTGTGAACCATCTACAGGAAGTACCAGACAAAGCTGTTCATGATTAACAGGTTGTCTGCAGACACAGGCACACACAAGACCAGAGCGCTGGAGAAAATGGTCGACAACCACCACGACAACAGGAAGAAGAGAAACTATCCCAAGCTCAAACAGAATCCCGAGAAAGATTTTTCCATTTTGCAGTGGCCTCCAGAAGTGAGGGTGGCATCTGGAGGTCAGGAAGCCAAGAGGTCTGGAGAGGGCAAGGCCAGTGGCTCTGAGCAAATAAATAGAAACAAACAGTGACTTGCCAGAAGAATCCAGAATGCCAGGCTGGGAGACGTTGTTCACCTCAGTGTGGAGCACGTGGCTGCTTGATGATTGCTAGGAGCAGCAGAGATGGTCTCCTCTCTGTAGGCATCCTCCCCTGCATACAGCCTGCACAATCTTGCCATAGCTGAGTGTCCCTGGGCTATTACTTTCTTAACATCACTCGACTTAAATACATTTAAACTTAAATTTCTTTGGAAGGAAACTTCATCACTATAAGTGGAAAATTAGTAGCTTCCTATTATAAATTAAAATAGATACCTGGCTGGGCCCAGTGGCTCATGCCTGTAATTCTAGCACTTTGGGAGGTCGAGGCAGGTGGATGACCTGAGGCCAGGAGTTCGAAACCAGCCTGTCCAACATGGTGAAACCCCATCTCTACTAAAAATACAAAAATTAGCCAGGCATGGTGGCAGGCACCTGTAACCCCAGCTACCCAGGAGGCCAAAGCAGGAGAATCATTGGAACCTGGGAGGCAGAGGCTGCAGTGAGCCAAGATCCTGCCACTATACTCCAGCCTGAGTGACCAAGTGAGACTGTCTCAAAAAAAAAAAAAAAAAAAGACACCTATTAAAATAACAGATTCATACCTGTGTATCAAAGGCATCTTGAACACCACTATGCTGTATGTTGCCACATCCTAGGAAACACTGACTTTAATGAAAGTAACTAAGTCACAGTTCAGTGACATGTTACAAGAAGTTGATACACACCAAGGAAATTTCATTTATAGAGAAGCAAAACCAAATTTTAGATGTTCAAGTTTTAAAATGGTCCAGGCCAGGCACAGTGGCTCATGACTTAATCCCAGCGCTTCAGGAGGCTGAGGTGGGAGGATTGCTTGAGCTCAGGAATTTAAAACCAGCCTGGGCGGATTAATGAGACTCTCTCTCTACAAATTTTTAATTAGCCAGGGATCGTGGTTTGTGCCTGTATCCCAGCTACTCAAGAGACTGAGGTGGGAGGATCACTTGAGCCCAGGAATTCAAGGTTGTAATGAGCTATGATGTCACCACTGCACTCCAGCCTGGGTGGCAGAGCAAGACCCTGACTCCAAAAAGAGAAAAAAGTTCTAGAAGGTAGTATGTTAAGAATTAAGTACCACTGAAAGAACCATGTCAGAACCTTGCACGCATCTTTCACTCCATCCTCATTATCATCCATTACCTCTTTACCTCTCTGGTGATCCCACTAGTCTCTAAGGTTATTTGAGGCAAGGTGTGTCTCCCCGTCAGCCAGTGAAGAGCAAAGCAAACACATGTAAACAAGAGTTATTTTTGTGGCAAAGACTGTCTCTTACATTTGTCATATGCAAATAATTGATAAATTCTAATTGGCTAGAAAAACACATTTTTGGAGCAAACTTTTGGTCTGAAAAAATAAAAGCTGGGGCCGGGTACAGGGCTCATGCCTGTAATCCCAGCACTTTGGGAGGTTGAGGTGGGCAGATCACTTGAGGTCAGGAGTTCGAGACCAGCCTGGCCAACATGACGAAACCCCATCTCTACTAAAAATACAAAAATTAGCCAGGCTTGGTGGTGCAGGCCTGTAATCCCAGCTACCCGGGAGGCTGAGGCAGGAAAATCACCTGAACCAAGGAGGCGGAGGTTGCAGTGAGCCAAGATCGCACCACTGCACTCCAGCCTGGTGACAGAGTGAGACTCTGTCTCAAATAAATACACTAATTAATTAAAAGTTGGGCTTTCTTTGCATACCCAGGGCCTCTGATTGCTTCTTTGTGCCCATGCAGGTAAACTGTAGAAGGTAATCACCGGAGCGGAATTGCTACTTTACTTCTGGCTGAGAGTCAAAATCACACGTGGAGCTTCTTAGTCATACCAAGGCCTGAGCCTGCCCCTGATGCTCACTCTGATTTAGTGGTGAAATCACAGATCCGTGGCACGGAGGCCGCAGCTCTGCAGCAAGGCATTTGTCATATCAAAAGGGAAGGTGAAGACACATTCTTGGAAAGCAAATGAAAAGTCTTACTAAGAGCTTGACTTTTGGGGAGAAAAAAATTCCTTGATTTCTTCTCAATAGGACACGTTGAAAATGGGGTTGTATCAAATGATTGTATTATTCCTAGAGGTAAACATTGTGAAGAGTTCCTCCTAAAACTGGGAGCAAGAATACCCCAAAGAGTTTTTGCTAAAACACTGCATCCTGGGGGTAGGGAGATGTTTGGCAGCGGAGATTAAAGAACAGAGAAGTTTATATAAGAACAATGCAACCTTGGCACGCTGAGCTGAGGATGAGCAGGGAGAGGGTCCCCAGTGTCAGGCTACATTGTGGAGAGAACTTTGAACCTCTAGAGCCCCCTTTCCCTGTATTAAGCAGGTAGCATCTCTCACAGCACTTTGGGGGAACAGCATGGGTTTGGGGCTCTGTGGAGGTCAATGCAAAGCCTGCTTCTGTCATGCATTAACTGTGAGACCATGAGCAAGTATTCCGGCAGTTCCCTTCATCAAAATATCCTTTCCTTGAAAAGCTAATATTTCAGTTTCTTAGTCATAATTTTAGAGCATTTTGGAGTTATCCAAATTTATTTCTCCTCTCCCATTTTAAAAGAAACTCACACATTGGATCTGATCAAAATGACTGTTTATTTCCAAAGAAACTGGCTCTAAACATAAAAAAAAAAAAAAACAGAGGGCAATGATTCCATTGTTACCTACTTGAGTTTTAACAGCAGCAAACAGTTTCTTCTTGTCTTTGGTCCCACAGCTCATAAACAGCAGGTGGAGATAGGGTTTTATTGCTGGGAGGAACCTCAGAGCTCAGCTCATCCAAGGAGCTTCGTGAAACCCACCCAAGTCTGACTTCACGATGGTTACTCATCACTCACATTGCTCACTGTAACAGGCAGCCACAAATAACCTCTGTCTTTGAAGCTGCCACCACTCTCTGGCTTTCATGGGGACTCCATAAGACAGGGAAGGAAAGTATGAAGCAGGGGCACTGCCACCGAGAGCCACCCCCCCCGAGTCCTGCCCGAAGTCACAGCGGACCCAGGGAGACAAGTGTCCCTGGAGCCTGGGAGGGTCCTCAACAACCGTGATGTTGTGAAGTCTATATCATCCTAGTCATCACCCTGAATCTTGGCGCAAAAAAAAAAAAAAAAAAATCTTCTAAAGCTCTTGGGATTTCCAGAGTCATAAGAGTGATTTTTGTATATTCATGAGCTGAGTGGGTCTGGGGACCCCCTAGATCACCTCAGGATGGGGACTGGCCCCTGGAACGACCAAGGCAGGATGAGAGAGTTGGGACCTTCAGCCTTACCCCCCAACCTCCAGGAAAAGAGAGGCTGAAGGTTGAGTTGATTATCCATAGCCAATGATTTAATCAATCATGCCTACATAATGAAGCTTCCATAAAAACCCAAAAGGGCTGAGTTTGGAGAGCTGGACCTGCAGAGGTTCCTGGAGGGCAGAACAGCTGGGGAAGGCATGGAAGGTCTGCACCCCTCCTCCCAGACCCACCCTGCGCACCTCTTCCCTCTGTTGTTCATCTACACATCCTTTGTAATATCCTTTTCAATAAACCTGTAAATGTGAGTAAAGTGTTTCCCCGAGTTCCAGGAACCACTCTAGCAAATTAATCAAACCCAAGGTGGGGGTCCTGGGAACGCCGATTTATAGCCAGTCAATCAAAGGAAGTGGGTGCAGGGTGGGAGCAGTCTTGTGGGACTGGGCCTTCAACCTGTGGATCGCAGGCTACCACCAGGTGCATCATATCAGGATTGAATTGAACCAGAGGACACCCAGCTGGCGTCCGTAGGAGAACCCACTTCAGAATTGGCTGTTGATGGAGAGAAATCCTCATCCATTTTGGTAACCTGAAGTGAAGCATTCTGTGTTGAGTAAGAGAACAGAAAAAACCATTTTGGCTTGTTTTTTTCCTCTCCAGAACAACCAACTAGGGTAGAGTGAACACCAGTGACCTCTGCCCTGCTGCATACCAGGCCTGAGTCCTCAGGGCAGACGGCCCAGCGAGGGCACCCGGGGTAGGAGCCTGGTCGTCCGCAGAGTCAGATGCTCCCAAGCCTTCTAAGTACGGGAGAGCAGGGGAAGGAGAGACAGCCAGGGCTAATTCCATGCAGATTTCACAATGGTCTGGGACAGTTTCTCTTAGTACTTTCAGAGATCTGTCCGTCTTGTCACTTTCACGTAATGTTTGTTATTTTTCCTCCACCCCATCCATGTCCCAAGTTACTCCGCATAAAAATTCTTGAGAACAATCAAGGGTGTGTGTGCTTGTTTTCGGGAAGGGATGCAGGTGTGTGTCTTCTGCAGCGGGGGCTGAGGGGTAGAGAGAGGAAGCTGGGGGAGGGGAGGGCAGGGTGGCCAAGGTGAACTGGTACACCACTGCAGCCATGTGGGAGAGAGCCTGAGAGCCCCCCAGGAAGAACAAGGGGTTCCTGGGGCTGGTGGAAGGTGCCACTATTCACGCCCCAAATGTACAGCACACAGGTTAGAAGGAAAGCGGCATCAATGCACTGAGACTCAAGCAAGCAGCAGGCTCAGGGTTCTGCCTAATTTCAGGCCAAAAGACCCTCCCCTTATAGAGTGGCCCCAGCTCCTTGTTCAGAAGATTCCCAGTTCCCCTCCTGGCGCTTTTGTCAATGACAGTAAGTCACTTAAGATGTCTGCAAGTTGGAAGCCAGGTCTCAGCTAGTTCCATTTTTAAATCACTCCTCTTTCTGGGATGCTAATGCAACCTTCCGCCCACCTCCTAGTCCACTTTGGTTTGATGAACTGGTTTCTTCTCTGGGCAGAAACAAGTAAGTTGAATACACCTGTCTCACTCTCTCAGTGCCTACCGCCATTCAGTTGGAAGGGCGTCTGGCTTGGGAGACAGAAATGCTGAGAGCCTCCCCTGCCACTTGTAGGGGACTGAGTCATCCGTGTCCCTGAAGCCTCCAGCTCTGCTACCTATGCACGAAAAGCACAACAGGCCATGGCAGAGGAGGGAGCTCAGCAGATCCGGGCAAAGAGGATGGGGATGAGGTGCCCTAGGACTTTGGGTGCTCCTCAAAAAACTCCTCCCCACAAAACCTCACAGCCTCACCAGCAGTTTCTGCCCTGAGGCCACCCAGTAGGATCACTTGAGCCCTCAGTCCTGGCTTAGCAAGCCCCCCCTGCCTTAGTCCAGGCTGCCACAGCAAAGTACCACAGCCAGGGCAGCTCATAAACACAAAGGTACTGCTCACAGTTCTGGAGGCTGGAAGTCCATGATCAAGGCACCGGCAGACCTGGTGTCTACACAGCCGCCCCACCCCTCACGGTATCCTCCCACGGCGGCAAGAGAGTGAGGCAGCCGCTGGGGTCCCTTTTATAAGGGCACTTATCCCACCCATGTGGGCTCCACCCCCATGACCTAATCACCTCCCAGAGGCCCCACCTCCTAATCCCATCACTTTGGGGGTTAGGATTTCAACATAGGAATTTGGAGGGGACACAAACATTCAGTCCATTGCACCTACAGAAAACCAGGACTCCCGAGGCCCCCCATCACCCACTGTTAACCCCAAACAGCTGTGTGTATCCTCCTTTCATGCCATCTCCCTCCCTGACTCCTGAAACGTTCCTGCATCGGCCCCTGGACTCCCAGCCGGTCAGCCGTGAAACGTCTCATTCCCTCAGTCTCTGCTGTAGGCGTTTCTTCTACTTTCTTGTTCTAAATGAGACCTGCTTCCTGCCTGCCTGACCTTTCCCATGAGGACTTTTCTTTTCCCATTCTCCTTATACACCAGTCATATGCCAGGGCGGTAGATGTTTCTCTTTGCTTCCTTCTAGAACTTTCTCTCTCCCTCCTCCCTAAAAACCCCCAGCACTTGTGTTCACTGTCATAAGACTTGACAGCGCACCTCACCGTTAAGAGCCACCTGCTCCTCCCCTCCTGGGGTCCCTGTCGCTGCCCTGGCTCTCCTGATGCCCAGGTATCACAGGTATCACTCCTTGTGGCCTCCTTACCTAATTTCAGCCTCCCCAGCCTGGGCCATTCGCTTCGAGCACTGGAAACATGGCTGGCCCAAGCAGGGATGGACTCTGACTGTAAAAGACACACTGGATTTTGAAGACTCAGCACGAGAGAAAAAAATACATAAATACCTCAATAAACTTTTTAGCAATTACACATCAAAATGATAATATATTGGATATGCTGGATTCACTAAACTGCACTACTGTATTTCAGTTAGTTTCTTGTGTTTTCTTTTTTTTTTTTAGGAGAGACAAGGTTTCACCATGTTGGCCAGGTTGGTCTCGAACTCCTGACCTCAGGTGATCCGCCCACCTCAGCTTCCCAAAGTGCTGGGATTACAGGTGTGAGCCACTGTGCCTGGCCAGATTCTTGTATCTTTTCACCTTTCAAGCTGGCTGCTAAGAACTTTAAAATTGCATGTGTGGCTCACCTTTCGTTTCTAGTGGATTCTGCTGCTCTAGAAAGGCTTTTCACCAATCACTGAAATCTAAATCCCACATTCAAATGTCCCACTTTATAAACGCTATGGCTCATCTTATTTATTTATTTATTTACTTATTTATTTTTAGACAGGCTCTCACTCTGTCACCCAGGCTGGAGTGCAGTGGTGTGATCACCACGCCTGGCTAATTTTTCTGTGTTTTAGTAGAGACGGGGTTCTACCATGTTGCCCAGGCTGGTCTCAAACTCCTGAGCTCAGGCAATCCACCCGCCTTAGCCTCCCAAAGTGCTAGGATTACAGGCGTGAGCCACCATGCCTGGCCCCAGAGCCTGTCTTTTTAAGCACCGCACAAAGCCATCCCCACAACAGAGAAGGACTTTAGACTTCAGCACTTTAGACTCAGGCATCAGAGCCGAGTGAGGCTGTGTGCGGGTCTGCACCAATAACGTGTCCACACCCTTCTGACTCTGGGGTGCCCCAGCCTCCCACAGGCCATGCATCCCACTGCCTTTCCACCCTCTCACAGCCTCCTATCCTTGCTGGCCCTCTTATCCTACTCCACTCCAGGATCCACGTTATCAGGTCACACACTTCCACTCCTCGCTCTTGTCTTGCTTCCTCACACTTGCACAGGGAAACTCCAACCCTGGTCAGGTCTGACTCCACCCACACAGCCGAGCACAGATGGAAAAAGCAAACAAACAAACAAAAAACCACGCCCCTAAGGCAATGGGGCTGATTTAAACTCAGAGCCTAAAGACCCAGGGGCGCTGGCTGTCCCTGGGCTCCTGCCTTTCCCTCATCCCATCATCTCTCTCTCCCTCTCCCAGACGCGACTTCCCACTCGCTCCTCCTCTTCTCTCTAGGTTTCCTATTTGACAGAGAAAACAGAAGTACTGCTTAGAGCCCCATGGGCAGGCCCAGGAGCAGAAGCAGACACACTGAACGGACACAAGGGTACTCACACTAGGACCTCACATCTTTGGGGTGTGCTCTATGTACCCGTTTGGAAGGACTCAACGTGGAATAACTCACATAGCCCTTACAAAAGCGTATGAGACAGGGGCTATGGGTTTCCCATTTCTTAGAGGAGGGGAAGCTGAGGATAAGAGCTTGTTCAGGTTTTCCCAGCCAGCACTCAGCAGAGATGGGGTCTGAGCCCAGCCTGTTCAGCTGCAGAGCCTGTCTTTTTTTTTTTTTGAGATGGAGTCACACTCTGTCGCCCAGGCTGGAGTGCAATGGCGTGATCTTGGCTCACTGCAACCTCTGCCTCCCGGGTTCAAGAAATTCTCCTACCTCAGCCTCCCAAGTAGCTGGGATTACAGGCGCACACGGCCACGCCACGCCTGGCTAATTTTTCTGTGTTTTAGTAGAGACGGGGTTCTACCATGTTGCCCAGGCTGGTCTCAAACTCCTGAGCTCAGGCAATCCACCCGCCTTAGCCTCCCAAAGTGCTAGGATTACAGGCGTGAGCCACCATGCCTGGCCCCAGAGCCTGTCTTTTTAAGCACCGCACAAAGCCATCCCCACAACAGAGAAGGACTTTAGACTTCAGCACTTTAGACTCAGGCATCAGAGCCGAGTGAGGCTGTGTGCGGGTCTGCACCAATAACGTGTCCACACCCTGACTTTCCTTCCCACTGAGTCACCTTTAGGTAACCTTGTACTTGAGCTAGCCTTGTGCTGGTCTGCAGTGGGAGGGAGGAGAGACGGGAGGGCAGACCAGCTAGAGCAATGGTAAATTACAGAAGTCATGGGGCCCCGTCTCATGCCCCTTTGTGCCCCTTGCTGCACACAGCACCTGCAGAGTCCCTGAATATATTTTGCTGCAAGATGAAGATGAAGAAGCGAATGAATGAGCAAGCAAGGAAGCAGAGGCCAGGAGCTATGAGAGCAAGGTCTGTGGGCAGGAGAACTGGGGGATGCCACGAGGAAAACTGCCCTGGCCACTCATCATCCCCTCTATTCCAGGGATCACCAGAAGCCCACCTGCCCACCCAGGGCTCTGTCCTCACTGCAGGTCTCCTTCAAGCCCATCCACTCCAGACTGTACCAGGCTAGTGGGACAGGCCGGTGGCACCCCCCTCAGACCCTCCTCACTGCCCCCATCCCTGGAGTAATGCCACGTAGGAGATGGCGTGGCCCAGGGCTGGGGCTTTGGCTGAAGACGGGGAGGGGAGGATCCAGTCCATGCCCATCTGTGTGGGAAGGAACCCCGGTGCCTCTGTGCCCCTCCTTCCCTCTTCCTGACGCCTCCTGGAAACAGCAGCCTCCACCTGAGACAAGGAAACACATCCCTTGGCTCTTCTGGTAGCAAACTTCAGGGGGCCCCAGGGAGCAAAGTGCCTCCAATCAGGATGACGAAGGGACAGACACACATACGCCGTAGAACCAGGAGCCCTTGGGACCCAGTATTTCTTATAGATTCTAATATTTGAGAAATAGGACTAAAGGAACTTGCTCAATTTCCTGGAGTATCTAGGCCTCATGAGAATCCCACTAGTAACCAGAACGCTGCTTTCTTCAGCAGAAGGCCAGGATCAGCCCGAAAACACTCTCCGGGCCAGGGTCCCTGAGAAGGGGCATGGGTGTTTCCTGGGAGGCCCGGGGTGGCAGCAGCTCCTTCCACCTCCTCATCTCTCCCTCTCTTTCTTCCCCACCTCCGCAAGCTTTGCAGGGGACTCCCAAAGACCAAGGAGGGAAATAAACGTGGATGGAGGGGCTACTGCGTGCAAGGCGCTTTACCCGGGTTATATCATGTCATCCTCCCACAATACCTGTGGGGTTAGTAACCTTATTCTCACTTTGCAGACAAGGACACTCAAGATTAGCGGGTTGGGGCCCTGGCAGAAACAGAAGGCTCCCTCAGATTAGGACACATCACAGGGTTTCATAAAAGGAATGTCTCAAAGGTGTGGCCAGGATGTGACCCGCACAAGGACAGAGCAGCATTCGTGGGCTGTAACCACCGTTGGGCCCAAAGGGTCAGGGATGGGAGTAGTTGCCAGACCTGGAACGGGAAAGCCCAGGTGGACAAGGCAGCTTTCAAGGAGCTGTGGTCTTTGGTGGAGAGACAGGAGCAGCCCTGGATGACTCCACAGGGCAGAAGCTGGAGGAGTAAGTGCTCTAGCTTCCCTGTCTCCCCTCACCCACCTCCTGCCGGGGCTCCCCAGTGAGTTAGAGTAAAGAACAGTACACGGCACGTGGGGATGGCAGGACAAACAGAACCCCCTGTACTGGGTCTGAGTTCACACGTGCAAGGACAACACAACTAGTGTGTGCACTATGGGTTCACACCCAGCCCTGACACACTGCAATGTAGGTCACCAAGCCACGCCCATCTTATAGAGGCTCCCACTGGGCAAGAGAGACCTGGAGCGTGCCTGGCCACTGGCTCCCCCGGGGACCACAGACCTGTCTAACAGAGCCGTGCTCTCTGCTCTGCATGGCCTGTAGCTCTGAACTGGGTTCATAGCCCCCTCTCCTGCACCAGAGCCTGATGCTGCAACCTGTAAAGAGCGGTGACTCTTCCAGAGGCCCCAGCCAGCCCCTCCCAGGAAATCCATTCCCATCTTTGGGCAGCAGCCCAGCAGCCCTCAGCTGAGCCAAGTGAACCAGGGAGATCTGACGGATGAGAAGGTAGATGAGGAGGATAATTTCATTTTATGGGGGAGAAACACAGGAATTGGGAGGCCGGGCCTTGGGGCAGCGAGTGGCCCGGCTGCAGGACTCGGCAGCCGCCAGGAGCATGTGTAACTCATTACCCCCAGGTCCCATTTGCGGACACGGATGACGCCATGAGTGGAGGGGGCTGGGGCCGCGGGGGCGAGTGGGACTGCAGTATTTTTCTGACACTAACACCTCTCTCTG